GTGTGGCGCGGCATCGACACGAGCACTAGGATGCAGGTGGCTGTCAAGTTCGAGTCCTCCGGGGTTCACGCCCCGCAATTGGAGACGGACGGCTCCCCGACAGACGTGGCAGAGGGCAGGGGCATTGGGGCAGGTCATGAGGGGCCACAATCGCCACGATGCAGGAGGCCATCCGCCAACCGATGATGGTGATCAGGGGATGAAAATCTGGAGACCGGGGCGTTCCATGTTTTCACTGGGCGTTTTCGCCCAGTTTTGGGCCCGGGGATCATCACAGATCGATCGGGCTTCGAACATGAGGTAGAAAGATGGTCTAGGGCTCTGGTCGAGTTGAGTTACCATGTTGCAACATCGGATCTCAGGCAACGGTGCCCGTACCGCTACCCTTCCCTTTTGGTTCTCTTTTTGAGCCTCCTCCAGCGCCTGGTTCTCGTTCTCTTTTTGAGCCTTCTCCAACCCTGGCTGACCCCCGTTTGCATTGACCCCCGTCTCAAGGCTCCCGAGGGGGGGGCGCGGCCTGGGGCCCGGCGAGGGCCGCCTCCTCGAGGGGAAGCGCCTGCTGCAGGCTCGCGTCGTGCAGACCTCGGCGTCGGTCTCTGACACCGCGGGGGTCGTTCCACCTTGCACGATCGATCTCTTTACGGAACGTCACATCGTTCCACATCGACCGCTTCTGGGCCGCCCACGGCGTTCAACGCTGAACGCCGGCGGCGGGGTCGCCGCTGGTCGACACGACGCGAACCTACCGTACTGGCGCCTTCCTCTTTTTTCGCCGACACAGCTGGATTCTCCAGATCCTGGTCAGGGCGCACGTCTGGAGGGGTCCGGGAAGCATCGGTATTTGTACCCTTCGGCCCCCCAACTCGGGCCGGCCTGGGCGCTTCCGCGTCCGCCCTGTGTTTTTGCACCCCTCTTAGCGTTAAATCGGGCCTGTCCCTCTACAGGAGGAATATTCAAAAATAGTCAAAAATAGTCAGAGGACGATCTTTTGAATGTTTTTCGGCAATTTTGGGTATTTTTGCACTACTTGTTATTTTTCGTCCAAAATTCCCCTGAAGGAGGACCGGCCCGACTGAATCTTAGCGCCCCGAGCCCGGTGCGCCCCGCCGGTACCGAGCCCCGCGCTTGCGTTCGCCGGCTCCTGCCGAGAATTTCTCGCGCGTCGTCGACTTCGCAGCGCGGCGTCGAACAGGCCAGAACAAACGAAAATCTCATCAAAGAATTCACTTGTCAAGCCTGCGGGGCCGCCCAGCCTGAGAGAAAGAGTCGGGGGGCAGGGGAGCGCGCCGATACCTCTGCCCTTCCCCTTGTGATTGCCTTCTTGGGCCTCCCAGGGGGGGGCCCTCGTCGCCGCGGCGGAATTCCTGTCCAGGCTCTGGTCAGGACGCGCCCCTGGGGAGGTCCGTCGATGGGGTCGGTTGCACCTTTTGCCCCCCCCCGTTCCCGCCGGGCGAGGGGGTCTGAGGGGGGGGAGGGTCGGAGGGCGACCCCGCGCGGTGTTGGGGTGGGCCCGGCTGGGCTTCGGCGCGTCCCCTGGTTCTTCGGGGCAGCGAGTGCACTCGTCCTCCGCCCCTCCCTCGTTCATCTTTTTCCCTTCCCCTCCTCTTCCCTGCTCTGGCCCCCTCGCCAGTGCCCCCTCCGCCTCCTCCGATCTGCCCCTCCCCCGCGCGCTTCCCCCCGCCGCCTGCCGCGTCGCTCGCTCTTCTCCCGCTCCCCCCCGCCGGTGTGCCCCCCGTCGCCTCCCCGTTCCCCCCGTCTCTTGTGTTGCGCGCCATATGCCAGCCGCTAGGCGCGTTGGCCAGCGAAACGATTGCGGTGCCCGCATCAGAGGAACATCCTGGCGCCCGTCTGCTCTGACCCCCCCCCCCGCGCCTCGCCGCAGGAGGCGGAGATACTCAAGGCGTGTGCGAAGCCGACGCGGCCGCAGGGGTTCGTGGAGTGCCTGTGGTTCGCCCGGGAAGGCCGCTTCAACTGCATGGTTATGGAGCTGCTGGGCAAGTCCCTGGAGGACGGGCCGCCACGCCGCTTCCCGTCGCGGCGCCGGCGGTCGCTCGGCGCGTGGGGGCCACGCGCAGAGGGGGGAGCAGGGGGAGGGGGGAAGGCCTTGCAGAAGCACCCCTGCTTCTCAGAAGGCGCGGGCCTTGTCTACAGATGTACGGCTTGCGCCTTCTCTATGGAAAGGAGAACCTTCTAAGAAGCCTCCCCCCTTCCCCCTACCCCCCCTGCGCGCCGCCAATCGTGGGGGCCGAAGTCGGGCTGCGAAGTGGCAGAATCGCACCGACGAGGCCCGAGGAGCAGAGGGCGACCGCGGAGAGGGGCCCCACGGGCCGCCTCACCGGCGACGCAGGCCGCCCCCTCCGACGATCATCGCCGTGTGGCTCGGGTCTTAACTTGGGTCTTCGGCAGCCCTTCGGGACGATCTGGAAACCTCCGGACGTCTTCCGGCGAGGCGCAGCTGCTGAAGCGCCCCCCCGTGGCAGGCAGACCTCCAGCGCATCCCGAGACGGGAACGCCTCCTGGACCGACAAGTCGGGCCGGGGAGCGGCAGCAACGCACCAGGGAGGCGGGAGTCGTAGGCGACGACAGGGGCGAATAGCCCAGGGGGGAAGCAATACATGTATGCAGGTGCGCCGATGATATATGTCTTCGACAAGGCTCCTGGGCGAATACGTGTAATGCCTGCCCCTGGGCTATTCGCCCCTGTCGTCCCCGCCGACAGGGAGGCGGGAGGAGGAGAGGGCGGCCGCGGAGAGGGGCCCGACGGGCCGCCACCAGCGACCTCCGGCAGATGGGGCCCCCTGCCGCTCGCGGGCGCAGGCGGCCCGCGCCAGGCTGCCCCCCCTCACCCAGGCGGCGTGCCGCGCCGCCTCGGCCCGCGCAGGCTGTGGTCACACGGCCGCCTCCGCCACCTCCTCCTCCTCCTCCTCCTCCTCCTCCTCCTCCTCTCCCCATCCGCCTCCACTCACCTCCTCCTCCCTCCTCATCCCTCCCCTCCTCCTCCTCCCCCTCCTCCTCTCCTCCTCCTCCTCCTCCTCCGCCTCCTCCTCCCTCCTCCCGCAGCGATGTGCGGCATGCCTTGCACGAAACGGCGGACCCAGAGCTCCAGGGGGCGACCCAGAGCTCCAGGGCTCGCGCGAGAGTTGGAGCGCGCCTGGTTTTGGGCCGCGGGCGACTTCCGGGGCTTCCTCGACAGCCAGAGGTTGATAGACCTCCTACCCTGACACGTCGATTAGAGAACTGACCGTTTTCTGTTCGCGAGAGGGCGCCGTGGCCGTCATTTTTGTGGGTCTGGATCCGTCGGTTGCTGTCCTGGGCCGTCTTCAGTACAGGGTGGTTTACTGAAGGGAGGGTTGTCCACCGCCGAGACAGGCCCCGGGACCGTCCAAGAACGGCTCGGGACGAAGACGTGGCCCTCTGGCAGCGGCCCAGCCCTCCGTGGGCCCACGCACAGCAGAGATGGTGGAGCGCCAGCTGCCTGGGGCACGGCAGCCTCACGTCGTGCCGACGCGGCGACCACCCCGGCGAGGATGCCCGTCCCCAAAAACCTCGGGGAGGGGAGGGGGAGGGCTCCCCTCCCCGAAGGGATGGGGAGGGGAAAGGGAGGGGGAGGTGAGGAAGAGGGGAGGGGAGGGCTCCCCTCCCCGAAGGGAGGGGGAGGGGAGGGGAGGGGGAGGGGAAAGATACCCTCACCTGTCGCCCAAAGGGCCGCTGGGACTTCGCAGAAGGCCAGGGCAGCTTCCGAGCCTTTGAGAGGGCCCGCCCCTTCTCACCTCCCCCCCGGCTTGCCGCCGAATCCACTGAATGACTGACTGCATGATTGAGCGATGGACCGACCGATGCCAGCGGACGGCTTAGGGAGCACATCCTGGGCCGCTTGTGGGCGCCGGCACCCGGAGCCGCAGCCGCAGCCTGGGAGCACATCTCGGGTCGACCGCGTGCGCGGCTGCGGCCACAGCCGCATCCTCGGAAGAGGAAACTGTCACGATGGAAATGAGGGGGTCTGATTTGGGAGGGGGGTCTGATTTGAGCGGTCTTGGAGGGTTTCAGGGGGGTCTGGGCAAAAGGCCGCCTGTTCATAGCTGGTCTGGGATGGGGTCTAGAATTGCTCATCATGGAGGGTTGTGACCCCCTCCCATTGCTTACGAAACTTGGAGTACGCTTCCCTCGTCGCCATGGTGGGATACCCATCCAGGTCCAGGGACTAGCAGTATCGGTACCTCTGGGTCCCCCACAACTGGGGGAGCACATTCGGGCCGCCCGCGCCTGATTGCAGGCGTACTTGCACACGCGACTTTGGCACCGCACCTTTAGCCGTGCTCGCACTTGCAATTCGTACCGCGGCTGGGGAACACATCTAGTGTTCAGGTTGCCGAAGGGAAGTCTGGTTGATTCGATGGCGCGCATTTCCGATCGTGACAATTTGCGTGTCTCTTCATTGTCTTTGCCTTTCCGGCAGAGTCGCTGCTTGTATTAGCAACCGCATAATGGTATACCATAGTCTTTTCCACCCTTCGACGTTTGCCCGAGCACGGCTTCACAGTTTATACCCCCGCAGCCCCCCGATGGAGGAACAGTTTATGATAAACTGTTTTTTTCGTCTGCTCTCTGTACCCATGTGTTCGGGGTTCGTCCAGACTGGGTCATGCGGACACATCTTCAGTCCACCCGAACGATTGAGGCGGGCCCATTTCATTCAAGTCGGTACATCTTGCCCTCCTTTTCCTTGCACCCCTACCTTTTCCCCTTCCGTTTTCTCGCCTGCTCCTCATGCCGCCCCCTTTCCCGCTCGGCTTCGTGCGATCTGGTCCACAGAAGCACCGCTCGTGACTGCATCGTCGTCGACGTCTTGCGAACAGGCGACCCTCGAAGAAAGCACAAACGGCATTAACATTAATTATCGGAGCTCTGCGCGGATTTGTCGGATCCGCGCCGGACCCCCCCCCTGGCGCGCTCCAGAGGCGCCGCCAGGGGGGCCCACTGCCGATCCAAAAAGACCGTGCCGAGCTCCGAAAGTCTATGTTTACGGTTGGCGTTGGATATCCATTTCGCGGTCCCCAGGCGTCCACGTGCCGAGCCTTTTTCAAGCCTCCCACCCCGCGAAGTGGAGCGACACGCTATCCGCTTGCCAGGCATGGCGTGTCGCCGGTGCCGCCGCCGTGACACGCTAAGCAAAAGTCCCTGACCGTGCGCTCCCTGGTTTTTGGGCCATGATTCTGGCATCTGGCGGCCGTTCGGGACGATTTCTGGCACCCACAGAACGCTCTCGACAAAGCGCAGCTGATAGAGACCCCTGGGCCTCGGAAGCGTCCGAAGACTATCGAAAACCTTTGAAGCTCTCCCATTAACGGCGCCCCTAGGGAGAGGAGGAGGGAGGAGGAGATGGAGGAGTAGTAGTAGGAGGAGGAGGAGGAGGAGGAGGCGGAGGCGGAGGCGGAGGCGGAGGCGGAGGCGGAGGCGGAGGCGGAGGCGGAGGCGGAGGCGGAGGCGGAGGCGGAGGCGGAGGCGGAGGCGGCGGCGGAGGCGGAGGCGGAGGCGGAGGCGGAGGCGGAGGCGGAGGCGGAGGCGGAGGCGGAGGCGGAGGCGGAGGCGGAGGCGGAGGCGGAGGCGGAGGCGGAGGCGGAGGCGGAGGCGGAGGCTGAGGCGGAGGCGGAGGCGGAGGCGGAGGCGGAGGCGGAGGCGGAGGCGGAGGCGGAGGCGGAGGCGGGAAGGAGGAGGAGGAGGAGTGAGGAGGAGGGGAGGAGAGGAGGAGGTGGAGGAGGCGGAGGAGAGGAGGAGGAGGCGGAGGAGGGGAGAGGCGGAGGGAGTCGGAGGAGGCGGAGGAGGAGGAGGAGGAAGAGGAGGAGAGGCGGAGGAGGAGCAGGAGGAGGAGGAAGGAGGAGGAGGAGGAGGAGGCGGAGGAGGAGGAGGAGGAGGAGGAGGAGGAGGAGGAGGAGGAGGAAGAGGAGGAGGAGGAGGAGGAGGAGGAGGAGGAGGAGGAGGACGAGGAGGAGGAGGAGGACGAAAAGGAGGAGGAGGAGGAGGAGGAGGAGGCCATACGGAATAATGCTCCCAGGACATGGTGCAGAAGTGCAGCGGCAAGTTCTCCGTCCCCACGGCGGTGCTATGCGCGGAGCAGGTCCTGCACCGGATAGAGTACCTCCACTCGAAGGCGGCTGGGGGGGGAGCGCCGCGGCATCACCTTGCAGCTTTTGGTTCGAGTGCCGAGTGCTTTGCTTCAGTTGTGGGCGAAACAGCGTCACGACAGGAGGTTTTTCGCGACTGTCAGCCGCTTGAGACCTCCGGGGGTTTGATGTTCTGAGAAATCATGACGTCGAGGGTCTGGGTCGTGGGCGCGAAGCATATCTGTATCCGCGGCCGTGCGGGCCAGGCTCCTGGGCCCCGACCCAGCGGGTAGGGGCTGTTTTTTCGCGAATGCCCTCGAGGAGAGTATCCGTGCGACTGCGTATCCGCGGGATCGCGCCCCAGAATCCAGACCGCGAGGGCGCGGATACAGATATGTTTGCCACTCGTGATTCAGAGAGGGAAATAACGCATCAAGAGAAACTTTCGGAGCTCCGCGTTGATTTTGTGGATCTGCGCTGTGATCTCCTGGCTGCGCCTCTGGCGCCGCCCCTGTCGCGCTCCGCGCGCCAGGGAGGGGGTCCAGTGCCGACCCAAGATACCCACATGGACCTCCAAAGGTTTATGCTTCTGCAGTTTTTCCCCATTACAGCTTTGTCGTCCTATTGCCCATCCCACCCGCACATACATACGCGGATATGTATGCACGAGTCTACGCATTCGTCGCTCTCTTCAACCAGTGTACCCTTTTTGCGAGCGTCGTCTTCCGCGTTCGAGCGCTGGCTGTAGCCCCCTGCTCCGTTGGGGAGGAGGATGAGGAGACGAGGAGGAGGAGGAGGAGGAGGAGGAGGATGAGGAAAAGGAGGACGAAAAGGAGGAGGGGGAGGAGGGGAGGAGGAGGAGGAGGAGGAGGAGGAGGATGAGGAGGAGGACGAACGGGAGGAGGAAAAGGAGGAGGAGGAGGAGGAGAAGGAGGAGGAGGAGGATGAAAAGGAGGAGGAGGAGGAGGAGGAGGAGGAGGAAAAGGATGACGAAAAGGAGGAGGACGAAAAGGAGGAGTAGGAGGAGGAGGAGGACGAAAAGGAGGAGGAGGAGGAGGAGGAGGAGGAGGAGGAGGAGGAGGAGCAGGAGGAGAGGGAGGAGGAGGGGCCTCAAACGTGGCGAGACAAGAATTCCTCGAGCGGCAGTGGATGTCAGCGAGGCCCTCTCTCCGTGCTATACAGCTGCGCGGTCCGACCGTCGCTCAGTGGCCTGCGCCTGGAGGACCAGAGGCTCGGCGAAGCGTCGTACTCTGCGACGCCGCTTTTCAGGAGGGAAAGCACACACAGACACAATGAATCGTCGACTCCCCAGAAAATATGGGACACTATGGGAAGTGGGGGGGAGGGGGGAAGGCAGAAGAAACAAACCCAGAACATCTGGGGAAATATGGGGTGTCCTGTCATTCGTGTATGTTTATGTGTGTGTGTGTGAGTCCCAAGGCCCCTGCAGTTTCACGACACGGAGGGATGGCTAGGACGGTTGGCGTTGGAAAGCTCGCGTGCGACAGGGCGCCGCTGGCCCGCTCTCTTGCCGCACGCTGTCCCCGGCAGGGGCGCGGCGTGCACGGGCGGGGCCGCGGCGAGTGGACGGCGCGCTCTTTTCGCGCATTCCAGAGCGGCACGCGCACGGCGCGGCACGACGGCACGGCGGGCACGGCGCGGGCACGGCGGGCGGGCGGCGCGGCACGCGCACGGCAGCATCCAGAGGGGGCCCCTCTGTCGTAGGATCGAGATCGCCGACGCGTTCGCTGTTTCGAGAAGCAGTTCGGCGACGTCTTTACAATTCGGACTCGCGGGGAAGAGGAGGACAGAACAAGCCCAAGGTGGATCCACGATGCTGCAGTACACCCTCCCGCCCCAAGCCCCCTCATAAATCCTGACAGACCATCCCTCCTCTTCGGCAAGCGCTCCCTCGAAAGACATGCCATTCAGGCGAGAGCCCCGTCTGAAAACGGAGCTAATTGTCTTGCATCCTTCATCCTTCCAGTGAGTACTCAGGAATGCGCACAGGTAGGATCATACAGTTCAGCGGGGTGTCCAGCGAGATCACCCGTTTTGAAAACATACCAGTCCGATCTGTGCAGATTTTGCACAAGCGTCGATGAAGCCTCAAGAGCGAGTCCCATTTCGAAAAGGAGCTGCCCTCCGGTATTGATCTTTCAAGAAGTTTTGTGCGAGCGCCCAAAATTCAACAGGAGCCGTCATTCATCGTGCAGCTGTTGCAAATGCTTGATTTTCTGGTTTTCAGTTCACAAAAGCCTCATGGAAAAGGGACCGTCCACCATTCTTGTAACTGTTCCGCATGCGCGGCGCTAAGGCGTACCCCCCTATTAAACAACAACTACCCGCCCTGCGTCCTTGAAGCTGGTCTTGAATGAGCACGGCGCTAAGGCGAGAGCTCCATTTCGGAAAGGTGCCGCCCTCAATGTTTGAAACAATTGCAGATTGGCGAACACGGCTGGGCGCGGCGCTCAGGTTGGAGCTCTATATTGACACGGAATCGCTCTTCATCTTTCAAAATGTTACTTTCAGACGAGTGTGCGCGGCCGCTAGGGCGAGAGCTCCTTTTTGAAAACGACCCAGGCGTCAGGATCATAAATGGTCAGGGAGTCTCAGGCGAACAGCCCGGCCTGCCCTTCCGACACGTGTATGAGTGCGACAGGACTGGAGTTGAGTAGAGAGAAGAAGGATGGAGTAGCAGGAGGAGGAAGAAGAGGAGGAGGAGCAAGATGAGGAGGAGGAGGAGGATTTAGGGGAAGAGGAGGAGGAGAGGGAGGAGGAGGAGAAGGAGGAGGAGTAGGAGGAGCAGATCCATGAAAAGGAGTGTGATGTGTGACGCGTGACGCGTAATACGTGATGTGTGCGACTCATGTGTGTTGGCATGGCCCTGCGCATGCAGCTCCGCGGCTCGTTGACGGACCTCAGTTTCTGCTTTCTGTCCGGCCCTCCTTCCCCCTTCCAAATTCAGCATTTTTGTTGTTCCAATACAACGAACAAAATACATCCACTAATTATTATTATCGTTATCATCATATTCTTATAGAATAATTAGAACATAAAAAGCAGGATTTCACAAATTGTTATTGTGAAAGCCTTACGGAGGTGCCGCCGACCCAGAAGGACGACGACGACCACGACGACGTCCACGACGACAACGGCAAGTTATGAATGCCACTGTCCCCTCTCCCTGTCTGCGTGATGTTTTCGTCTACAAGATTCTACACATAGTTGTTTATGTTTTGTTGGGCAGTCCGATGGTTTTCGGTACTTCACATGTGTGCCACCGCTGCAACGTTGGCCTCATTTTCGGATCGGTGCTTTGCTTCCGTCGTTCAGAATGGCGCTCTCGCCTCAGCGCGGGCCACTTTTTGAATCCGAGTGTTTCTTCATCGTTGTCGCCCCCCTCGTTTCCCCTCCTCCGCCTTCCCCTGGTCCTCCTGCTCCTCCCGCTCCTTCCACTCTAGTTCTCTCTGCTGCTGTTCGTCTTCGTCCTTTTCCTCCCGCTCATTCTCATGCTCACCCGCCGCCTCCTCCTTCTCCTCCTGTGCACGCAGCTCCCCTTTTCCGATTGCGCATGGCCCGATGTGGTCTTTTTGATGGAGTTTCAGGTCGGCTATGATACGCGTCCGCGGATAGAGAAACACTCTGCGCTATGGGATGGGACGGGAGGGAGGGATCGGATGTCAGATGAGGCGCGAGCGTACCTAGCTTGTCCTCTCCCCCTCCCCCCTCCCCCTTCCCTTCCTCCCGTCCCCCTCGTAGCCCTTCCTTTCCACCTCCCCTTCGCTCGGCAAAGTGCTCTTCGCATGGCGGCGATTCGGGCCTGCTCGGAACATGCGCGGCGTCAAGGGCTGCGCCAGGCGTGGCTGGCCCCAGAACTGGAATTGGCAGGGCGTTCCATATGGTTGGTCAGTGTTTTGTCACGTGACCGAGACCCTCCTAGCCTCCCTCCTCCTCCCTCCTTTCCCTCTTCTCCCATCTCCTCCTGCCCTGCTCCTCTGCTGCACCCCCCGAGCTTTCCTCCCCTTTTCTGCTCCCTCAACACTGGGGGTTCGACCGAACATGACATACAGTCAACCCTCATAATAAGGATGGGCAGCCTTCCCAAGGATACCCTTGCATCCTTGTCCCTTTGGCCCATCCTTGGCCACTTTCCCTGGCCGCGCCCCGCTCGAAAAGCATCGAAATGGCCCTCCAAGGCCCTTGCATCCTTATCGGGCGTCCTTACTACGCGGGTTGACTGTAGTCAGAGCGCGTGCCCCAGTGCGCCCCACCTTCAGCACCCGCCGCTCCCACCAGCACCAGTCTGCGCTCTGGCGCCAGGGTGGGTTCCTTCGCCGCCCGTGCGGGCAGTGAGGCTCCACGTCCTGCGCGGCGGCGACTTTGGATTGCGTGCGTGTGCGCGCTCGCTGCGGGGGCTGCCGCTTGGCAACGCGCGGCTGCGCCTGCGCGCTTGCGTCGGAGGCGACGATAGGGGCGAATAGCCCAGGGGGGAGCAATTCATGTATCCAGGTGCGCCGATGATCTGTGCCTTCGACAAGGCTCCCCGGCGAATGCGTGTAGTGCCCGCCCCTGGGCTACTCGCCCCTGTCGTCGCCGCCGACTGCGAGCGGGCAGGTTGGGCGAAGTGGCCACGCAGTGGGCGTGAGGGCACCTGGGCACCCCTTTCGTCACGCAGAGCACGGTCACGCCACGTGCCCGCACATCCTGCCTCTGCACAGCACTGCCCGGTCTCCCCCCAACGCCGCCACCGGAGCGCTCTCGGGGCTGCGCCGCTCGTGCTGGACAAAACAGAGCGGGGCGGAGGGGGCCAGCCGCAGGCACGCATGGGGGGACGGCTGCAGCGAATTCTCCTCCGTGCACGCGCGGCCGCGCTTGCTTCTGCGCGGCAGCTCCACTCGCGGCGGTGGGGCGAATAGCCCAGGGGCGGGCATTCCACGTATTCGCCCGGGAGCCTTGTCGAAGGCATAGATCATCGGCGCCCCTGGATACATGTATTGCTCCCCCCTGGGCACTTTGCCCCTATCGTCGCCTCCGACAATGGGCA